TAGCTAAGAGCTTAAATCAGCAGACAGAACTTAGTGTTCAGGCTCAGGACCTGACTGCTTGTACTTAGGATGATGGCGCTTGTCGTACTGTTTGGACCCAGCAGGAGGTTATGAGGCAGAAGGGATATCGTCGTCAGAGGTGTAACTGGGGTCATGGAGATGAGACTCAGTGCATGGATAACTGGGAGCAGACTACGCCCTCTGACTTCATTTCTTATGGCTGTGGGTCTAAGTGCACTGATACGAACGATTGCGGTAACACTGATGGCAAGCCTTGCTCCAAGTAAGCTTTGAGCCATGAGTTCTGAGAAGGGTTAGGGGGCAGTTTATCTTTCTTTTCGTCATCTTGAAGATGTATTTCTTTAGTAGATTCTGGAGGACTTGTGGGCATTTAATTGATTGGAATAAACAGGGATGGCTAGCTACAGCATAGATACTACACTGGCAAGCTTTCAAATCTTGGACAGCGGCAAAATCTGAAGATCATCCCTACTCAAGTCCCTCACACTCTTCTTCCCAGCATTCGCCAGCATATTATCCATATCCGCCAACAAACATCTTAAAACATGCTCAACACCCTCCTGTCCACCTGCCGCAAGACCATAAGCATAAGGTCTTCCAATACAGACTGCCTTTGCACCAAGAGCCAATGCTTTCAACACATCTGAACCAGTTCGGACACCACTGTCAAACATGATGGTCAGATTTGAGTCCTTGACCTTCTTGTCCGCTGCGATGTCGGCCAGTGCATCCAGTGACGCGATAGCGCCGTCAAGTTGGCGGCCGCCGTGGTTGGAAACGATGATGCCGTCGATGCCGTGCTCAATAGCAAGATGGGCGTCCTCAACTGTCTGAATGCCCTTGAGAACGATTGGTCCGTCCCAGAGATCCTTCAAGATCTTGAGGTCACTCCACGAACGGTATGTACCAGAGTTGATCACATCAATCCAAGCTTTCGACTTGATCAAGGTCTTTGCATTGGCGAGGACTCTAGCAGCTCCGTATACAGTCCCAGGCCTTCTCATAATCGTCCAAAGTTCAGAAAGTTTCTCGGCAATACTTCGTGAGTCATTCTTCTGCATCTCATCAAACAACTTGTTGAAAACAGGATCCGAAAAGCCAATCTGACAGCCTTGGCCCCAGATGAAGGGCAGATACGACGTGTCGAGGTCTGTAGGCCTCCAGCCAAGTGAGAAGGTATCCAGCGTGACAACGAGGACCTTGTAGCCTGAAGCTTTTGCACGCGCGAGAAGACTAGCGGTGACTTCTTCGAACTGCGGCTTCGGCCAGTATAGTTGATACCATCGATCACCATCTGCATTCGCCGCAGCAACCTCTTCAATCGTGCGCGTCGCAGCAGTCGATAGAATCATCGGCATGCCAACGTTATGACACGCCCTCGCCGTAGCCTCCTCCGCATCAGGATGCAAAATACTCTGCACACCGATAGGCGCTACAAGCAGGGGACTCTTGTATTTTGTACCGAACAACTCAACGTCAACATCGCGCCTGGTGACGTCAACGAGAAAGCGCGGCTTAAGGCGATATCTACTAAACGCCTCGCTATTCGCTTTCGCAGTAGCAGCACTACTCGCTGAACCGTAGACGTAGCCAAAATTGGTGGCGGGGATCTTTTCCTTGGCTAGAGATTCCCATTCTGTGGGGTTTGTTGAGAAGAGTGGCGGGCGGAAGGATTGGTAGATGTCGCGCTGGAAGTTGGAGAAGCTGGTTGGGTCTGGGATTGAGAACGGTTGGCTCAGCCTCTTGGGTTGAACTTCATCAGCCATATTGAGGTTTTGTGTGAGTGTTGGTGAATTTAATGGTAGTTTTGATGATTTTGGGGTGTGTTTAAATTGAGTTGAGGTGATTGAGACGCGCCTCGGATCTTCCCTAGCCCTTCTCCTCACGGAAAATGTGCCGAGGTTGCCGATCCTTCAATCCTTCGCTAGAACGTCATGTTACACTTTGCGGGGATCCTCTGCCAACACCACCAGAACCTATCGAAACTATGCTGTAGGTATTATTGTTATCGGTGGGCATTGCTGCGAACTTAGTCATAAGCTTACGATTAAAGTAATTGCTCCATCCATAACGGAAACCTCATTTGGGATGCCATACAATCTTGCAGTTCTAACCTCACAGCGGCATCATACATCTTCAGCTGTGGACTTGGTCAAGTGTACCACTGATCCCTCCACGCCCCCCAACCTTACCAGGTTATTCAAGATCTCTTGAGCAGCCATTTGCCGACCCTCCCATTCCGGGTGACGACTCGCAACCTCCTCTGCCCTCTTTCGTATTCCCACAGACTCCGACCCGAATAAAATCTCCAACAGCGCCTCGGCAAGCTCGTTCTCTCGCCATCGGGGCTTCGCTTCCTTATTCGCCCAACACCCAATTCCAAGAAGCTCAACGCGGTTGGCAAAATCATAACAGTCCGTCCAAGCAGGAAGAAGCGCTTGAGGTATGCCAGCACTAACAATATCGTCAGACGTTGCGTAAATTTTCGGGGATGAACTCAACTCACCATAGCGCTTCGTAAAAGGAATTAGCTCCCCCATGACTCACAGAACAAACGACGTTTTTTGATTCGAGGACAGACATTGGCTCAGCGACTAGCCAGTCCGTGATACGCACTCTGCCTCGTTTGATGTAAGCTTGTAGTTCATCGGTCACCAAAGCCCATTCGTCAGTATAAGAGTCTCTCTTTGGAGCGTTGCCTTCTTCATCAGACAACCGTCCTAGCTTCCACAGAACCTGAAGAGGTTTCCCCGCAGAATGTAGTGTATCAGCGTGTTCGAGGACATTTCTGAAGGCTTTGGACATTTCATGGGCTTCAGTGGGGTTTGACTTGTGATGCGTGCCCAGATTGACGTATATAGTTGGGCCTTGGCTAAGCCATTCGGCTAAACCTGCTTCAGCTTCATTGATAGGCGGAGCAGCTCGTATGATTGGGCCGCAGGATGTGAGCTGTGGTGGCATGACGCTGAATGGGTAGTCTATGTCAGGACTGCTAGCGACAAGGATGGGCAGATTGGGCGGCGCAGGCGTCAAAACACCCAGTTCCATCATGGTCATCAAAGTTATGCAAGGATCAATCTCCTCGCGGAGTTTCTCGGTTGTCCTTTTTAGCCGAGTATCTGTGAGCAGAGTGTAGCCAGCCACGAAGCCAAAGCAAACATTCCATGGGATGAGGCTCCATGGTATGGGATAAGGCAAGGCCGAACAAGCACTGTTCGGGTTAGTTAAGTGTTTTCGTAAGTAGTTTAAAGGGTCACTTGCATTGGATACTTCCAAAGAGCAGCTAATTTTGGCTGCACCGGAACTGCAAACTCTTTAATCGTGTTCGGCGAAAGGACCATCCACCTGACACCTCGATGGTGACAAAATGTCAAGCCTTGAGTGAACAGCGGTTCAACAATGGTCAAATCTGGCTTGACTTCATCGAATACCCGTTCTGTTTCCTTGTAGATGTCGAGAAACTCCCCCGGGCTCCAAGGTACCATGACAGCTGGTAGAATAGCGACGCCTTTTGCCGAGTTGACGAGTCCAGGAGTCAGCTCAAGCGTTTCGAAGATTGCCGTTTCTGGACGCTTCGTAACTGGTCCCCAGCTCGTTCCTTCGATCTCGTGGAACACAAAGGGTCGAGGTATCTTCTTCTTCTGTTGAGTTGCAGTTGCCTGCATAAACCTGGAGGCATCATCCACTCCGCTTCTTAGGTCCTGGAATGAAGCGATATGGATTTCGACGTCTTCACATGCAAGGCCTAGTTCGTGAGCTGTAGCGAGGATTACGTTGGCTTGGCCGAAGTCACTGTTAGTGAACAGGAGTAGGCGCTTCGATCCATCCATCGTAGCCGATTACGGGAGGCATTTAGTACACAGAGAGTCGATATGAGGGGATAAAGGGCTTTTCGGCCTTTAAATACTAATTTGGTGTATAGGGCTGAACTGGGCAGGACATGATCAAGGATATGGGCTGCATGTCAGCGACGCCCTAACTTTAAGCATACATAGCAAAAAGGGCTGTGCCTCTCTGACTCAACATCAGCAAATCTTCAATGATTTTTCGTTTAGCCGCCAAGAGCGTCTCATGGTCACAGCTGTTGTGGAGTATGGTGAGATTTTGGCAAACATGTGCTTACTGTTTTTGGTTATTTCTTTCATTTTACCCTGCAACCGTAGAAACTGAGCGTTCTGAACCTATCACAATATCCTTGGTATCAAGCTTACTTCCTCAGCTGATGTTCTTGATCGATTCAAGGATCTACTGTCACATGGTGAGAGTTAGGTGCTGCACGCGGATTTGGTCAGCTTAGTCTCCCGATATGCAATTCAAGAGAGTTTGTAAAGTCACCACGCAATAATTACACGACGACTGTAATCTTTGAATAACCCATACCGAATTTTTCTTAGGCGATAATCGTATCCTTAAAAGAATTGTAGTCGCTGATTACGGGAGCGAACAATAGTTCAAAATCCATCCCGCCTGAGTAAGCCGCCTATGACGTCCTAATTTATAAGCCGTGTCTTCCGCTCTAACCTTACTACCCGTCATCCGACCATTCATATAAAAGCCATTACAATTCAATCCCTTAGCAAACTTGCAAGCAAGGCATATTGTGGTCTTTCCAACCAATTCTCAAGGATGCCTGAACGACCACGATTTGACGTGCCGGACGGCAAAGCCGCCAAAGTCAGCATTATCGACTCCAGCTTGAGACTGTCGGGTATGCCGCTCACTCATCTTATGAAACCTGCGATGAAGGGCCTCGATGCGATGCCAACACTTACAACATGGTCGTTTCTTATTGAAAGCTCTTCTGGGAAGAAAGCACTGTTTGATCTGGGCGTTTCGAAGGAGCCGTTGAAGAATTTCTCGCCAAAGTACGCTGATACGATAAGAAGAAACCCAAATTGGGACGTGGATGTTCCAAAGAATGTTGCAGATATTCTGGCTGAGAATAACGTGCAGCCGTCAGAGATTGACAGCGTGATATGGAGGTTCGTAGTACAGAATATCTGCGCTGTGACTCAGTCACTGATATTTGCCTAGTCATCATCATTTTGATCATATCGGAGATATCACAACCTTTCCAGGGTCAACGGAACTCATCGTTGGACCAGGGTTCAAGGAAGCTTTTTTACCCGGTTATCCCGCTGACCCTGACTCTCCCTTGCGTGAAGCAGACTTCGAGTAGGCATCACCATCCCAATCTTTTCTCAAAACAGCTGACAGGATCATAGTGGCAGAGAACTGAGAGAGATCGACTTTGAACCCAAGTCCCTTTTGATTGGACCATTTCGTGCCTTTGACTTCTTCGGCGATGGTTCATTCTATCTTCTTGAGACGCCAGGCCATGATATTGGGCACTTAGCAGGTCTTGCTCGTACAACAACCGGTCCCGATACGTTCATCTTCATGGGCGGTGATCTATGCCATCACGGAGGAGAGTTACGTCCATCGAAGTATCTTCCATACCCATCAAATCTCTCCCAGCATCTATCGCTCTCAGATTCTCTCCGTCTTCACCTCTCACAATGCCCTGGCAGTGCACTTGACGATATGAACGTCGAGCGTGGACGAGCCGCTGGTGAACCGTTTTTTGACCCAGCGATTGGGTTTGATAAGGAACTCGCGATAAAGACGATTAAAGAGGCGCAGACAGCAAATGCACAAGACAACGTCTTCTTCGTCTTTGCACACGACACCACCATGTTTGGTGTTATCGATATGTTCCCGGAGCAAGCAAATGATTGGAAGCAGAAGGGCTGGAAGGAGAAGACTCTCTGGAAGTTTTTGAAGCGGCGCTGAAGCCTTGAGTATCTTGTATCCTGTTTTGCGATTGAGCCAACCTCGATCTACTATAGAACCCATCGCGTCACTATTCCCAATACTGTCCCTTCTCACTATAACAAAATGTGTCCTCCATGGAACTTTCAATAAAAAGACGGGAATCCTATCAATGGGCGTCGAATTTTCGCGACGTCGCATTGTATGGGTCCTCAGAGTGAAGTCATCGTTATCTAAGAACCGGGCCGCGTGGCCTAATGGCTAAGGCGCTAGATTTCGGCTTTCGAGCAAATCGAGAAATCTCTAGAGATTCCAGGTTCGACTCCTGGCGTGGTCGACTTTATTTTTCCAATTGTTCCCTGACTGTGAATTATTCTTTTTTATTTTACTTTTAAACTCCTTTACTGGCTTATAATACAGTTACTTATGGAGATTAAATATGATAAAATTATTTATTACTATTTTAATTAATACCAGGAAATAGGCTTAGTAGTTGGTCATTTATATTAACTACACTCTTGTCTGCTATTGTAAGGCTTCCTAGGATGTAATCTCGCAGTATGCCACACACGTCGGGCATCTACCATATTCAATCATTGGCGACGAACAGCCACATCTACAATAACAAACCCCAGCAGCAAAGGTGGAAATTGGATTGGCTGATCCCGCTTTCCCATCCCTCTTGGTATCTTGCGCGGGTATTTTGGCCTTTGTTGAAGCCTCCGGCTTGGTGGTAGAAACATCACTTTTCTTGTCGCTCTTCAAGGGAGCCTGAGAAGTTGGGTTCGTAGTTGACGAAGTCATTTTGTTTGTGAGGTAATCTTGAAAGTCTATAGAATGCTTGGAATTGTAATGAGAAGAAGGCAGAGAGGAGATAGCACGGAAGGTATTTATATCTTTCGCGAAGCTGTGAATCAGACATACAGCTCGAGTGAGTAAGTGCAGAAATGAAGATCTGATGAGATTCTGATTTGAACCCAGGAGGATTTCTCCACCAGGAAATCAGTGTCAAGCTTAACCTTGTAGCGGCAGGCAGTTACAGTACTTCACTATTGACGCTTACCTGTGTTGCCAGCAAGTACCTTCTTATGTGATTCAGTGCTTCTCGTGGACCGTGAATGTGATGTTCAACTCATCGCATCCGCATTTACAAGGGCAGTCAATTCCTGTCGCTTGCAATCCTGATTTCGACGCATTGTCTGTCTTATCAGCCCACGTAGTGGATGTGACATTAATATTGCTCTTCGGAGAATCAGTTGTCTCCTTGGCTGGAAGATCTGGCTTAAGGACCTGGCTTAAGGACCTTTTTGGCCAGGACTGAGAAAGTCATTTTGTTTGGAATTTGAAGAGAAGAGCCGGCAATTTTGTCGCGTTTCAAAGTCAATGGTTTAATTAGAAATACTATTTTCTACCGAAGATATCCTATTGCGGTTTATATGCTTGTGGAATCGCTATGAGTGACTGACAGATGTGTTGTTTGTGGTTGATATCTGTGGCTCGAGCAATTGATCACCACACAGAACCAAATTAGTGAATTAGCTGGGGAGAAAAGAATACTCAGGACCTTAATCCTAGATGATACAAAGACTTAGGTAACTTAGGATAAATTTAAAGTAATTCTACTAACTGTAGGATATCTTTTGCTAATTTTATTTTTAATACCTCCCACGAAAGCGCATAGACAAACTCTTATTACTAGTTCTCTTGTCAAATTCACGTAATGGCTGAGGTTTTGACCACAACACTATGTTGTCTGAATTAATGTATTAATATTAGAATCTAAATCAGTGTCTTTACTCATATTTCCATGATTCACGACTCTTAGTTCCCAGCAGGCAAAGAATCCCAAGACCAGTTCCACCTAGTAACACAGTCTCTGCACTCCCAGCATGTATGAGAGTACCAGCGATACTGAGCTCCTGAAGAAACAACCTCAAGTTGATCAACTTCCGTCTGTCCAAGAGAAAGAACACAGTTCATGTTGCTGCTCCACTCAAAGCCCCATGCGTAACAATCGGGGTTGGTATGGCACATGATCGCACACTGAACAGGCTCTGTGATTTGGGGCTTCCAGTTAAGTGGCAGCTTTGTGTACTGCGATGGGTTGACGATCATGAGTGTTCCACCACAGGGCCCTTGCTCCTTCTCGAAGGGTCTATAGCAAATACCCTGGCCGTTCTCCCAATCACAGGGCTGCTCTACTGGACCAGGTGTTGGGGTTCCTGTGATAGCTTTGCTAGTGGCTGTGACGGCTGTTGGGGTGTTGGGCTTAGGTGTCACGGCGCGGACGAGCGTGGTGGATTCTGCAGGAAGTAAAGAGGTCGTAGGATCGTCGTGGCAAGGGCAGGTCATACAGTCGAGGCTATGCCAATAATAGATGCCATCAGCGACGGAATCGGAGTTGGGATCAGCAGCCATTTCAAAGTCAGCATCAGAGAGTGAATGAGTGGAGAAACGACACGATCGGTCATTCGGCATCCAGGCTGCGGACTTGCAACCAGGGTAGAGAGAACACCAGGCAACACACCACATCTGACTCCAGGCCGTAGGATAGTCACGGGGTTGCTCAACAGCAAAGCCAGCACCATCACTTCCAGGCCAACGACCGCGATATTGGCAAGTGGTGAGACTGCCGCCCTGGGACCTCTCGTTCCATGTACATCCATTCTCGAGGGATTTGGGGCAGGTTGACGCAGCGGGCAGTTTGACAAGGTCGGTAGGTTCAGCAGACTGAGTGCTTGATGCGGCAGATGTAGTAGAAGGCTCATCGTTACAGGGACAGTTGAAGCACGAAAGATCGTGCCAGTAAAACACTCCCTCAGTGTCTACGTTAGGATCAGGACCAGGAACGAAGTCAGCATCCTGAACTTGATGTTCTGAGAAGCGACATGACCTATCCTCGGGAATGAACGCAACGGATTTGCAACCTGGTGAGAGGGAGCACCAGCCCAAGCACCAAAGCTGAATCAAAGGAAGAGGGTAGTTATCAGGACGGGGAACAACATGGCCTTGTCCAGTGGAGCCAGGCCAAGAGCCTCGGCTGGCGCAATTGACCATGTCATTGCCGTTGTCGGGACGCTTCCACCAGCAGCCGCCGTTGAGAGCCTTGGAGCAGAACGGCTGCTCAGGTGCGGTGCTCGTCGTACCTACGGCTGGTACAGTTGAGGACTGGACTTGAGAGACAGGCTTGCTGGTAGTCTCGACATCGGAGTTACCAGTTGAGGTCTGTTGTAAAGCCGCTTGGGTTGATGTTACCTGGTTCTCTTGACCAGTGGTTCCCGTCTCAGTATGCTGCACAGGGGCGGCAGACGTAGTATCCGGATCTTGGGGGGCTGATGTAGTCTCCTGCTTTTGAGTCAAAGAGCTGGTTTCTGGCTTCTGAGAGGCGGATGTAGTCCTTTGCTGTTGGGCAACGGAAGTGGTCCCCTGGTTCTGCGAGAAAGATGTAGTATCTGGCACTTGGGTAGCCGACGTAGTCTCTTGCTTTTGAGTAGCAGATGTAGTTTCTACCTTCTGAGAAGAAGATGTCGTTTCTTTCTCTTGGGAAACAGAAGTGGTTTCTTGATCTTTGGGGACAGATGTAGTCTCTAATTGTTGAGTAGTTGATGTAATCTCCTGCTTCGAAGAGCTGCTGGTTGTCTGAGGACCGACCACAGGGGGATCAAGAGGAGGATTGGCGCCAGTACCGGTGTTACCGAAGTTGACAACAAAGTCGTTGATGTTCTGTGGCGTGACAGCGTTGGAGATGAAGACGGAGTCGACAAGCACAGTCGCTCCACCACCGATAAGACAGTTCATGGCGATGCGGAGAGGAGCATTGACCTGCGATGGCGTAACAGCCTGGAGAACCTCGTTCCAAGATACGGCTGTGCCGGTACTGAAAACCCAGTTCTGATAGAAGACAGAACCGCCGAGGAAGCCGGTCAATTGGCACAGGTTGATGGCCGCAGGCGAAGTAACGACAAGGTAGTAAAAGCGAATGGTGTAAGGCGTCGAGAGATCGAGGTTGGACATGCTCTGCGATATACTAACAGAAATGCCTAAAGCACGCTTTCCATCGCCAGTATTGGAAGCACTCATCGCAGCGCAACCCCGTTCAGTACTTCCTGGCTCTTCACGTCCAGCACCTCCAACGATACGAGCATCGCCTTCAACCTCCCAGTCAGGAACTGAGAGAGGGTTATTTGGATCAATCTCGGCCATATTTCCATTGGTGGCCAAGTTGTGGACTTTGGGGAGGGTAACGACAGTTGTAGCGGTGGACGAGCTGGTAGCATCGGAAGAGGATGATACGAGCGAGGGGATCGTGGTGCTGGACTTGGGCTTGCAGGCGCTTCCGGCGACAAAGTCGACGGCGGCGAGGGCCGCCAATGCGAGGATGGAACGCATCGTGAATGAGTGACTGGATGAGCACAAAAGAGGGACAAGCAAAACAAAATTGTGGCGGGCATGAGAGGAAATCGGTACCTTAAGACCTTGCCAAAACGATGAGACGATGCTCATTTAGCTACGGCAAAGACCGCTCCGATATTTCTCAATAGCCTCGTGAGGCGTTTGGTTCAGCCAGTAACTAGGATAAACCTACTGCAGCCGTCTCATAAAATCTACAGAAGCAAGGGGATACAATAAAACTTAGGACCTCTATCGTAGGTGACAAAAAGCCTCCGGTAAACTTAGGCAAATCTAGTATAAGTAATAAAGACTTAGAGGATCTTAGCCTAAGTGTTTTTGGCACCTTAGTTTAATGTTAGAAGTCTTCTTGCACCCTGGGGGGAAGTAAGCGGACAAAGTGGAATAAGCGATGTCGCTTTCTCTCATCGTGACATTTACAAGTGGATTTTGGTGTTTTTGGTGGACCTTGGAATGTTCGGGGCTCAATAGCTTCCAGCGCTATTGAGCCCAAAAATCGATAACCTTATAGGACCCCTGGCGCTACTTGACCTGCTAGGGCTGAATGAGAATAGCGGGAGGGTGTAATTTCAGGGGTTTTGCGGCTGAGCCTTTGGTGAACTGTTGAATAAATTTGCTTATTATTGGGACGTCAACAGTTTTAATCCGATTGACACCTGTAATGATAGTTTTTCTTCCTCAAAATAGCTGACTGCTCCGCTTGAAGTGTTTTATGACCTTGATCAATAGCTCTTCCGTTGTTTGACATGTGGGGACGAAAAGAATTTGATGCATTATTTACCTCGATTTGACTAACAGGCTATGTGCTCTCCTTTTTTATTGACGCAGAAGACATCAGAGGTACAAAAGGAGAATAAGAAAAGAGCTACAGCACTATCTTACGATGAAAGCTTTTCTTTACTTGCCTCGGTTTTCGGTGTTCACAGCTTACTCGCAGTCATAACTCGATGCTTCATAAATGATTAGCCAATGGCCGCTGTAGAATATCTCGCCAGTGGTTGAAATCCAGATTAGATTAGAATGCTCATAAGGAAATACATCATATCTTGAGTCTAAATTGTCGTAAAACCCGAGACCCAAGGTCGATCATCGCCCTGTTATTCAGATCTCTCCATGTCCTGGATTACTTCTCGCTCGTTCTTCTCAGCCATCAACTTATGATAGAACCTGTCCAATTTCCCCCATACAAGTTCATCCCGCCTATGCGTATCTCTCAAAGCAACAACATATTCCACCTCGGCATTCCTGCAAGTTGCATTCTCAGCCAGAAAGCTAACTATCCCAAACCCTTGCTCAATCTCACAAGCTTTACTCAACGCCGAGTATTGACCATTTCTCGAGTCTATTCGCGCCCCCCTATTGATGAGCAGACATACCGACTCTTTGCGCGATTCAACTTCATCCCTCATTTCTCGAAAGGATATACCCTCTTCCACAGCATCCACCATCATCTCTACAAAGTCTCGGAGGAGATTATCGTGATTGTTTTCGTAGATGGCTTCGCGGGCCATTGCTCCAGCATCGAGGAGAATTTGTACGCATCGGGTGTCGGACATTAGTAGTGCTGATAACAACGGTCTTGGATCATCGAGATCATCTATATCATGGAGTCCGTCCAGTTTACGGGGCTTGCCTGGGTCGATTCCCTTTTGGATCAGTAGACTCAGTAACTCCAGCCCGGCCTCTCTCTTCCTCTCCAGGCGTTCTGGCGAACAGTTAGACATATCTTCTCTGTCACGATCGTCGATGCAGTTGCTCAACAGTTGCAGGCCCCCATCTTCGTCCTGTTGTACTGTCGGATCGGCTCCAAGCTGCAGTAGCTTGATAGCAGGTTCGAATTTTCTCCTTCCGATGAGCACGTTCAGTGCGGTACCACCATGCCAATCTCCCCACTGAGATTCAGCTTCCGCATCCAGAGGAACACCCCATTGTACCAGCTTCTCAACTATTGCACATGCCAAGTCCTGGTCTTTGCAATGTTTAACCCAGTGAAGGGGCGTCTGGGCCTTCGCGTCACGATCAGTAGGACTGAAAGCCTTGTGCTGGATGAAGGCATCAATTGCAGAAAGGGACCCTTCTGCGATAGCGCAATGAAGGCCTGAGATGTTGCCCTCATCGCATATCACAGAGTAAATAACGTCTCGTTCTAGAAGCAACTGAAAGATCTCATAGGTGCTGTGGCGTATGGCATAGTGCAGTGGCAGCCAATCATACCTATTGACCACTCTTCCATACTTTCGACAATTACACAGCGTATCTGGCCAAACATCCGTACTAGCGCCATTGTCAAGAAGCCAATGTACGATCTCGAAGCGCTTCAGAAAGATGGCAAGAGGCAATGGCGTTGCGAGCTGCGCCCGAATGATCGGTCCACAAATGGGAATACAATCAGGGTCTTGTTTATAAGGGATGCAGTCGGCAACGTCGTTGATCTTGTTGATATCAGAGCCATAGGCAACACCAAGCTTGATCGTGGAGAGCGAGTCGTGAACAACGGCCCAATGAAGACATGACCTTAAGGCCTTGTCGACGGGGCATGTCCAACAATACTGTGGATCGTGTTCGTGGGTCCATGGATAGCATGGAGGTAGACCAGTGGCAGCGGCGTTGCGCTTGTAGAGAACGGCGTTGAAAATAGTGTGAAACGCGTGATTGACGCGAGACAGGCGCGAGAGGTCTTGGGGCTTGCAGTAGAGAGCGAGATGTTCGGCCAGTTCAACGGGCAATGAATGGAAACTCATTTTGCTGACATTGACGCTCAAGTTAGTTTATTGAGGCAAGGTGTTTCTCAGCATCAAGTCAATCCGTTTTATGGGACGGTCGTATGAGAATATTCTTAGGCAGCAGCCCCGCCTTATATAGCATTGCGCTCATGCTTACGCCCCCAGACAGAAGGATGTCGAGTTCTTCAATAAGGGCGGATTGTCTCTTAAGACGTTGCATCTGAATTCCATGCGTAACATAAAACAAGACAAATGATAGTTCATCAATACCAGGTCTTAAGAAATAAGAGATCTATCTACTTCCTTCTCATATCTCTGAAGCGTCTTCCATCAAAAAGCCAAGATCCAGCAAACTGTTAAGGAGAGACAGCTACTCTACAGAATATTCTCCGTACGCGGCCTCTCTCCACTTACTCATCGTTCGCAACTCCGAATCACTTCCATACAGTACAGTCATAAAGACCCTATCAGAGACAAGATTCGGCTCTGAATGCACCGGACTGTCATCCCTCCCCCAGCTGAACCGCACAATTTGACCATGCCCGACCTGAACTCTCGGAGTGTCTTTGAATGCATTGCCAAGCGACTCCCGCAATAGATCGTCGGCGTCGTACATTTCGTCTTCGGATGGCTCAGGGCCATCCGTTTTATCTTGCCACCAGTAATAGCGCGCCTCCGCTTCATGCTGCGTAGTGAAGACAGGCTCATTCGGCTGTAGCATGAGCGTAGATGGCCCGAGGAGAGTGAGCGCATACTTGCTACGCACGATGTCTTCGCGTCCTTGATCGTACTCAAACATAGGGCCATCTTGATGCCATCTCGGGATTTTGAAAGCGGTAGTAGGCTTTGTGATTCGGATGGTGAGCCAGCATGCCTTTTTCTCTTCGATGTTTCCCGAACAGTCGTTTTGCGTGGTCTCCAAGAACGCCTTGATTTTGGGTTCCAACTCCTGCTCTACCTCATCGGTATGGAGAGCGAGGAATTTCGACGCCTCAGTAGCAAGTGAGGCGTCAACTGGACCGTAGTAATTGAGTGTTGACTCTTGTTTTGTAGACGTGATGCGGGGAATGCCGATAGACTCTGGAAGAATCGCGTATGGTGTTTGATCTGACATGTTGAGATTTGAGATGGTAGCTTGAGAGACGATAGGCGAACTATTCGAGCGTTCTGCCTTTAATGATTAAAGTACAAGATTGTTATATGACTCAGGCCGTGTATGGGCACTACTGCCTAGTACTAGTGCCACCATGACTACGTGCATTGATCTTACATTTATTGTGAGCTGTGCCACCTCAAGTCAAGCTAAGCGCCGTGTCAGCCTTACCAAACAGTAAAATCAATAACCCGCTCCGAGGCCCCAAGAGCTAACCCATCCCATAACAAGTCATTGGCTCAACGGTTGAACTGGTAATTTCTCCATCAGGAAATGCCCGAGTTGCGATAAATATTGACACCCACGCAGCCTTGTCAGCCTGTCACCGCTTCACATCACAATCTCACCACCAACAACAATGAAGCCAACCACCGCAATCCTCTCCGTGCTCGCCTCGCAGGCGACGGCGCAGCTCATCGACATTCAGATCGGCGACACCGCGAGACTCGACATCATGCGCCAAGCAGCTGAAGCCCAAGTCAACGGCAACACAGCCAAAGCCCACGAATTAATGGATCAAATCCGCAACGCAGATGCCGCGCACGAGAAATCCCTCTGGAAGACAGATTGTCGCGTCAGTTCTCAATTCGAAGCTGAGATCTACACCGTCAAAGATCCCTCGCGCGCACCTAAAGAAATCGCATGGGCGATGGACTTCCTCGATAATCACTGGAAGACAGATGACGGTCGCGATCTTCCGTATCCTGGTGATTTTGATCGCTTCATGCATCCCGATGGATTCAGGGTGATGCGAACAGATTACAAGAAGCTACCTTGGGCGGTGCGCAAGTATCATGAGGACCTTGTCAAGGAAGGCAAGCAGATGGAGCGCAAGTTCATCGCTGAGATTGACGGGAGTGCGTTCTTTGCGCCGGGTGTTGTTACGTGGTTGGCGCCTCTGTTTGCGGGGAGTCAAGTTGAGCTTGGCAAGGATGCATGCGAGGGTAAGTTAATTTGATGCGTGAAAGAGGTTGAGCTAACGAGAGTAGATGACCTTGTTGACTTTAGCAACTGGGATAAGAAGAAGCAGGCGGCTGATGGTGCCAGGTATACCTTTGGATATGGTGGAAAGGTGCAGATTGGGGATCATATCACTGTTGAGGTGCACGCTCAGAGATCTTCTAAGCCAGGCGCTGAGAAGGAGGCTGAGGCTGGGACAGATGAGGAGACCGAGGGAACCGACGAGTTGTAGATTCGGAGCGCTCTGCGATGATTTCCGGCCCTCTCTCACTAGGATGGACTGTTCGGTTTATGTATCTGTCTTGATGTTTGAACGATATGAAGTAATGAATTTCTGTTTGTCAACGATCCCAAGTATAAATCGTCTGATCTTCCTAAGGTTCCCTCTGAACATCTCAGCGCCCTCACAACTTTGCTTCTCTCAATTTTCTAGCCTCCCTCTCTCTATCCCTCAGCTTCCGTCTCAGAATCTTCCCAGTCGGGCTTTTCGGTATCGCATCAATGAACTCAACGCCGCCCTTCAGCCACTTATACCTAGCTTTATGCTCCTCCACAAAGCGTTGGATATCCCTCGCAAGTTCTTCATCAGATTGTTCTGCACGGTTTGCTTTGACTACAAATGCTTTCGGAATCTCACCGGCTCGCGCATCGGGAACCTGGATGACTGCGCAGTCGCTCACGGCTGGATGGGTGAGAAGATGTGACTCGAGCTCTGCTGGCGCGACTTGATGGCCCTATTCATATGGTTATTAGTGTAACAGGAAAGGGTTAGATGATATATGTTGCTAACCTTGACTTTTATGAGCTCCTTCACTCGGTCAACCACGACGAAGTGCTCATTGCCGCTCTCAGACATTCGAACCAACACCTCATCACCCGTGCGAATCCAGCGGCCATCAACATCATCAAAGAAAGTCTCGGCCGTGGCCTTCGGATTGTCAAAGTAGCCAAGCGACACCGTCGGACTCTGGATTAGTAGTTCGCCTGGCTTTTCATATTCTGTAATCTCTTTACCGTCTGGGTCGACGATCCTGGCCTTGGCTGCAGGAAGTAATGATCCCGTTGTGCCGACTTGCGTGTCATGCTCGCTACTTTGTATAAAGACAGTCGCTGTCTCGGTCATCCCTGAACCAAGTCAGCAACCAGCGAAAGCACAAACGCTCTCTTCACCTACCGTAGCCTTGACCAAGGCGCCACTTCGGATAAAGGCTTAATAGATCGTCTACTGTTTCTTCTCCAAGTGGCGCAGCACCTGTATACACGAACCTGACACTGCTCAAGTCGTACTTGCGACATAGCTCTCTCCTGTCAAGCATCTGAATCACGATAGGAGGGACAATTGGGAGCTGGTGTATCTTGAAACGACTGACCGCAGCCAAGAAGGGTTCAAACTCGAACCGAGGCATAACGATGATCTCGTCGCCGCGATATGTACCCAAATGAGTAATAAGCATCAGCCCGAAAACGTGACTAAACGGCAACACTCCGAGCATCACTTGCGTGTCGATGCCGTCGACCTTTCTGGAAACGGAGTCGAATGTGCATGTTTGTATGATGCCTGATATAATATTGTAGTGCGAGAGCATGACAGGTTTCTTTATAAGAGTCAGGCGGCGCACGTCACGTTGGTTGGTGGTGAACTCACCGGCAGGCCAGAAGTGCCACTTGAATACAGTAGATAGGCTGTTTGCCGAGCGCCTTGTCCCTTGGTCCATTGCAGCGGCGGTAACGCAGGCAGTTTTTCTCCTTCTTGGATGAGGTCGTCGATTGTTTTGAAACCGCGCCTGCTCGTGTAACCGGGCACTGGAAGCAGAAACACATTTTCTCGAGATATACCAACTGCATCTGTAGCTCTAAGCGCGGTTTCAATGAGAGGTACACTAGTGAAGATTGCTTTTGCGCGTGAGGCGCGGAGCTGATGCTCTAACTCCGATGCCGATAGGGCTGCGCTGCTCAGGCTGGCGATGCCATTCAGACGATGAATTGAATGCGTGAGGGGTATGTAGTCAATCTGTCTCCAAGTCAGCCAAAATAAGTTGGCCTTCTGTGAATCAGTCTACTTACGGTGTTGAGAGAGAATATCACGCAGACGCGATCCCATTCCGAACCGGATTGCAAGTCCAGTTGAAGAGCTCTGCCGATGCCCCGCGCAAGGAAATCCTCCCTGCGGATAACATCTTCAGATGTACGCGTTTTTCCAGTCAATCCGCACGTGTAAGGATGCCGCGTTTTCGCAATGGGATACCGACCATACTCTTCCGAGCTCATGAACTCGGCAACGCTGATGGAATCCGGAGGGTCTGGACGATATTAGCATATTGGCCTGAACAATGCATCTTGGTAGGTACCGATGGGCAGGTCTGGTACCCATGATGGTGGGTAAAAGACCATTGTGACTGAAACAGTTGAGCGCTTCAGTTAGTCCGATCTGGTGATGGTGCAGCTAGATTGATCTGATAAGATCTTGGTGTCCACGTTTCTCCTGCCTTGCGCCCTTTTTGATGTGACCCCGCATTTGATGTGATTGCTTGGCGACCGGCGGGTGTTGCCGAAGGCTTATCGGGGATTTGTACTGTATGTTCCGGCAAAAATGCGATTGCCTGCACGCCTTGAGCTGCAGCTTGTGACATGCAGTTGTAAGCTAAAGGTCAACTCAGATCACCGTGGTGGGAGGTTCATGAAATGGTGTGTAACAGATTATTTAGTCTATACTGATATATATGCTTCTAATCCACCCTCTGAGTATTTAACATTACTATCGCTCATCCTCCAAGTCATATCCTCCATCTAAATCGTCAATCTCATAGCCACTTAAGGGAGAGAAGCGGGGGAGTAGCTCTGGTCAGGCTTAACAACCTTGCCACCAGCGAGCTGCTTATCAGTGTAGCTGGGGTAGATGATCTGCTTCTTGCTGCTGACGACCGAGAGAGTGGTGAAGCCCTTGTCGGCACCGAACTGACCGCTCCAGCCAGAGGTGATGGTGAAGGTGCCGCACTTGGCAGGGCCGCCGTTGGCCTTGGAGGCAGGCTTGCCCTTGACGACGTACTTGCAGGCGGTAGCAGCGCCGCTGCCGGTGTTGATCTTGAAGTTCCAGGTGCAGGTGGTATCAGCCTTGTCGCATGAGCGGGAGAGAGACTGGATGGTCCACTGGGGAGAGGCGGCCATCATGGAGACGGAGTCGGCGGGGGCAGGGGCTGCGACTGCGCCGGTGGCGGAGACGAGAGCGATGAGAGCGGCGGTGAACTTCATTTTGATGGTAGAAAGTGGAAGAGTTGTAGATGGGAAGAGTTGTTTGTTTGTGTGAAGAGTTGGTGGTTGTGAGTGAAGAGTGTTTGTTGAGAAGATGAGATGATTGATGATGAGAATGTTGATTATCGCGGGTTGATCAGTGAGTCTTTATAGAGCTTGCAAAAGGTATTAATAGACTCATGACTTCATATCTCCCGGAACATCGGCTCCATAGTGTTGAGCCCTGATGTCGCCCTAGCCGATACTACAGCTGATCAGTTGATGGTAACGTTTGATCGAGGCTCAGGTCCAGCCTCACATTCTAGACCCCGTTTCCATGGCATGACAGAATAAATAGACCAGGCATTTCTCCCTACGGCACTATCTGCCGATTTCCCGTCTCTTTTTTCCGCCCAGCCCCTTCGAGACCTGGGGAACCCCGAGAGCTACGGCGAAGCTTTAGCCTCTACAAGTTTAGCCGGTTCCCTTTTCAGCGAATCAAGACGTGATTTATTCTTAGATTCTTGACCCCTGCGCATTTGGTGCCTGATGCAGTTACGAGCTTCTGGCAATACGAGCGGATCAACAGGAACTATTGTTTGTCACTGTGTCCCTTGCCCCTGCATTTCAACTCATTGCGATATTTGTCCTAGGGGAACTCGTAAAGCAGAGTCGGTGAAGGTCATGCTCGTGTTTATTGCTGAGGCAATCTTAGCGGTGCGAGCAAGGCGAGGTCAAAGCTCGACCCACGTGCGTTGCTTCGGCACTGGAGCTTGGTGGTGATGTAATTGGGATCGCTGCTTGGGACTGAGAATCATGGAAGATCATTGTATCATTGTGTTCTCAATTGATGATCAGCGAGAGACCGAGATTGAGGTTTTGATCTCGCATTCGGCCAAGATATTGTCTAGAACTATAATAGTTATTTGTCAAAATTCTGGTCGGTGGAATTGATTGAGCTTTCGCCTGTGAAGTTGGTATGCAAGATAACTTTATCTTTTAGCTTAAGAGTGTATATTTCCGCTGTGTGGCATCCCCACCCAACAAGCGCACCCAAAGACAGAACAAGATCGAGACCTCATTTAAAGATTTCCAGACTTATAAACACTTCAAGATGAATCTGTATTTTAATCTGAAGCAGTAAAAGATTATATCGCAGACATGGACAGATCATTTGTTGGAGAAACGAGCACAGGAAGCAGGAAAAAGTGCATTTCAAGGCATTTCCTTCCTGTAGGGTAGCAAGTTCAATTGCGCTTGCTAGCATTCCAGACAATGAAGCTGACTTTGCGGCGTCTCCGACGCCACTCAGTAAAGCAAGAACGCAACAAGTAAACTCGGTAAGCCTCTATTTAGTTATAGACCGATCGAGCTGTGGCGTCTCTTATCTCAATCCGGCCATGAGATGTCAACGCTGACTCCGTTCCAAATGGAGGATGCTCATGAGCCAGCGAGATCATAGAACAGACATTGTTACATTTGTGCAGGAGGCCATATCAGTTCTTTGACAAGAGAGTATGCATATTGATTGAGTTTACTCTGTACGGGAGGCACTGCTGGTTATCTGGTAGTTATAAACGGAAGTCTCCGGATTCACGGGATAAGTTAGCCCCACTGCGGCCGCATTTTCCGCACTCATCTCCGCTCTTCTCAAGTCCGACAGCGGTAAAGCGCGGAGCTTATGCCGTATGTGCATCAGAACTTGCGGCTAACATCCGCGTCTCCAAGAATTAATTAAATAAGCAAAACCTAACGGAAATCAAGACATGGCAAACAAACTTGCGAAGCCTGCAAAAAGCAGAAGCGCCGTTGCAACATGGCTCTTCCAGGCTGTAGCCTATGCAAGCGGACTTAACGTCTGTGCGAATATGGCACCGCCGCTGATTTCCAGGCAACGGCTAGTGATTGAATTGTTTGCCATCATCCCTCGTCCGTGCATGAGCTTTCAGGTTTCTAAAGAACTGGAGATTTTAGTTGCTTGGTCTTGTTTGAGAAATTCTTGCGTCACCGCTGCAGCCGGTGAGTTATACATACCTATATCAAAGTAATACCTGCCTAGGTTTTACGACATCCAGATTCAGGTTACTGGTAGCTTACATGCGGAAGTCCACCATAGCTCATGATGTTACCACGCAAATTGATTTCAAAAGCGCGAAATCGACTGGAGTTTCCGCGGTATGTTTTAGACATACAGAGACTGGTTATTAAAATACTTCTTTATTGAGCTATCTTCCCTCTCTGGTAGCAATCACCATGAGCGATACAATTGTCACTGACATCATCTCATGATCTCCCAATCTCAATATGTTGCTAAAGGTTTTGAGCTGGTTATGAACATTTTGGCCTCGTATAGGGACCATAGATATTACGTCTAAGAACAAGATCATTGCTGGTACTGTGGCCTTGGCTGCCAGTCTTCGTTGGTCATTGACTCACCCGGGACATCAGAATCGATGCTCAATGAAGGCCATAAGCAGAAAGTCCTAGCTTCGTCAAGCCTCGATCAAGTTGCACAGGACTCTGTTAAATTGACTATCAAACGTGGATTCGGAAATTTGCATTCAGAAATTTAGGGTATTTTGGATATAGGTATGCTACCCATACCCGGGGTATTCCGTACACCCCTGAATGGGCTTCACTTAGCCTCATGGTACCGCGACACCAGATCATGATTGCGTCTGACAAAGTTATTGTCCAAGGGCAAGAGACCGAGGCTTTTCGGCATCTCGACGATGTCGTCGTTTCAGCACACATCTGTAACATGCAGCGGCCTCAATCCATGAGAGTGGATATTTCTCAACGATTTCCCCAATATACCACTGCTGTTGAGAGGACGCTTTCAAAAGTCAGAGGTAGCCAGGTCATGAAGACCATTGCCTCACGCGCCATAAGCCTACCTGAGCGAGTCGACATGCTGGCGACCTCATTGGTCCGAAGGGAGTCAAACACACCAAAATTTCTTTTTCTTTCAACCATACCGGATGTAAACCCACTGGGTTTAGTCCAGAACTGATTGCTTCTCTCGAACATGGCATAATTATCACAGAGCCTTTGGCAGGTACACGTGTCTGCCCAGAAGACCTAGTTGAACCTATACGGTTCAGAAACGAACTTGAGAACGATCCCGAGAAGATTATGGAACACATCATGTCTGTTGAGGACGCTATCGCAGAGCTCCAATATATTTGTGCCCACGAAAGCGTTGAAGCGGAGGATCTAATGTCGGCACGTATAAGAAGAAAAGTACAGCACCTTGGCTTGCGAATAACTTCGATATCATAATGACTTCCAAGTTTTAAGCAATATAACACTGCTCATACGATCAGCAGAACGGAAAGGACTGAGAAAGAACAACTTTTGTTGCTCTCCTAGATATTAACATCAAATGCTCAGTTAATCATGGCTACTTATCCTTCTATACACCGAACATCCCGATACGCTTGCCTGATACAACAAGCATCTTCAAGTAGCCAAGATCTTCGGCACTGAACCTTTAAATTTGGTTACCCTGTGCCTGCCGGGACAGCCGACCCGTATATATTGTACCATTAATGACGTAGATATGGCTTGTCAACACTAATTTCATAACTCTTCTAACAAAGATCACCGTATCAATTGCCCAATGAGACCTGGAGATAGCCCGGCGGTTCGACAACATATAAGCTTGTCCAACAACGTATCACAAGCCTCAATCTCTGAACTGCCTCTAACAGAAGAAATACACCTGATCCCAGCAAAAACCTCTTTCAATGCTATCAAGTAGGTGTTGGTACACATCTGGATCAAGCCTGGCTTGAACCGACGCTGCAAGTACTCAATAGAAACCATGTCATCGGATTTGAGCGAGACTTTAAGACTAGATACCTAGCTGTAGCATATATAAGCAGGATGGTACGTAAAGCATCGTTAGAAGAGATACTTATCTATAGTCTATGCCTGCGGCTGTAATTAACTTGTTGTCCTTGCGTTCAAACTCTTCGCCAATCAAACTTCGAACTTCATGGACTAAGAGATTTACCTCTTCCTACTGGATATATCTACTAGGCTCTATGGGTTTCTATTTGTTAGATATTGTTGCCCCACGTGGTTGATGCTGGTTGGGACTTCGACCTATTCAGTAGTTTTGAAACGCTGCAGATAAGAGTTCTAAAGTTGCTTGCTTA